ACACTGGGCCTGATGGTAAACTTGTAATACACTGGGCCTCCTGGTAAACTTGTAATACACTAGGCCTGCTGGTAAACTTGTAACACACTGGGCCTGATGGTAAACTTGTAATACACTGGGCCTGATGGTAAACTTGTAATACACTAGGCCTGCTGGTAAACTTGTAATACACTAGGCCTGCTGGTAAACTTGTAACACACTGGGCCTGCTGGTAAACTTGTAACGCACTGGGCCTGCTGGTAAACTTGTAACACACTGTGCCTGATGGTAAACTTGTAATACACTGGGCCTGATGGTAAACTTGTAATACACTGGGCCTGATGGTAAACTTGTAACACACTGGGCCTGATGGTCCGGTGGCCCATCCATGGGTTTGGTCAATATTAAATGGAATGGACAATACACTGGGCCTGCTGGTAAACTTGTAACACACTGGGCCTGATGGTCCGGTGGTCCATCCATGGGTTTGGTCAATATTAAATGGAATGGACTGTATAAATAACTAGGATAGTCCTGTATGGACTGAACACTTTGTAGTTTCCATGCTGTAGTGATGTCGGGTTTAACATATTCTATCGACATGTTTATAACAACATCATACTGAAAATTGAAAAAAGAAAATGTTTTCATCACCTGGTTGAGTTATGGCACAAATGCTACAAAAGAGAATATTTCAAATATTTCAACTAATGTTATTAAACTATAAGAAAAAGAGTTTAATTTTAATGGTTATTTTTACCTCACAAAATTAAGTCTTAATTGGCATCAGAAGTGGCAACTATTTGAACGCTTCTTTAAAAATAGGTATCAGAAAGAAAAAAAATGTTTATGAAAAGGAGTTGACACCCACTGTGTTGTTACAACTGCTCTGTAATACTGTAAAGGAGTTGACACCCACTCTGTTGTAACAACTGCTCTGTAATACTGTAAAGGAGTTGACACCCACTCTATTGTTACAACTGCTCTGTAATACTGTAAAGGAGTTGACACCCACTGTGTTGTTACAACTGCTCTGTAATACTGTAAAGGAGTTGACACCCACTCTGTTGTTACAACTGCTCTGTAATACTGTAAAGGAGTTGACACCCACTGTGTTGTTACAACTGCTCTGTAATACTGTAAAGGAGTTGACACCCACTGTGTTGTTACAACTGCTCTGTAATACTGTAAAGGAGTTGACACCCACTGTGTTGTTACAACTGCTCTGTAATACTGTAAAGGAGTTGACACCCACTGTGTTGTTACAACTGCTCTGTAATACTGTAAAGGAGTTGACACCCACTGTGTTGTTACAACTGCTCTGTAATACTGTAAAGGAGTTGACACCCACTGTGTTGTTACAACTGCTCTGTAATACTGTAAAGGAGTTGACACCCACTGTGTTGTTACAACTGCTCTGTAATACTGTAAAGGAGTTGACACCCACTGTGTTGTTACAACTGCTCTGTAATACTGTAAAGGAGTTGACACCCACTGTGTTGTTACAACTGCTCTGTAATACTGTAAAGGAGTTGACACCCACTGTGTTGTTACAACTGCTCTGTAATACTGTAAAGGAGTTGACACCCACTGTGTTGTTACAACTGCTCTGTAATACTGTAAAGGAGTTGACACCCACTGTGTTGTTACAACTGCTCTGTAATACTGTAAAGGAGTTGACACCCACTGTGTTGTTACAACTGCTCTGTAATACTGTAAAGGAGTTGACACCCACTGTGTTGTTACAACTGCTCTGTAATACTGTAAAGGAGTTGACACCCACTGTGTTGTTACAACTGCTCTGTAATACTGTAAAGGAGTTGACACCCACTGTGTTGTTACAACTGCTCTGTAATACTGTAAAGGAGTTGACACCCACTGTGTTGTTACAACTGCTCTGTAATACTGTAAAGGAGTTGACACCCACTGTGTTGTTACAACTGCTCTGTAATACTGTAAAGGAGTTGACACCCACTGTGTTGTTACAACTGCTCTGTAATACTGTAAAGGAGTTGACACCCACTGTGTTGTTACAACTGCTCTGTAATACTGTAAAGGAGTTGACACCCACTGTGTTGTTACAACTGCTCTGTAATACTGTAAAGGAGTTGACACCCACTGTGTTGTTACAACTGCTCTGTAATACTGTAAAGGAGTTGACACCCACTGTGTTGTTACAACTGCTCTGTAATACTGTAAAGGAGTTGACACCCACTGTGTTGTTACAACTGCTCTGTAATACTGTAAAGGAGTTGACACCCACTGTGTTGTTACAACTGCTCTGTAATACTGTAAAGGAGTTGACACCCACTGTGTTGTTACAACTGCTCTGTAATACTGTAAAGGAGTTGACACCCACTGTGTTGTTACAACTGCTCTGTAATACTGTAAAGGAGTTGACACCCACTGTGTTGTTACAACTGCTCTGTAATACTGTAAAGGAGTTGACACCCACTGTGTTGTTACAACTGCTCTGTAATACTGTAAAGGAGTTGACACCCACTGTGTTGTTACAACTGCTCTGTAATACTGTAAAGGAGTTGACACCCACTGTGTTGTAACAACTGCTCTGTAATACTGTAAAGGAGTTGACACCCACTGTGTTGTTACAACTGCTCTGTAATACTGTAAAGGAGTTGACACCCACTCTGTTGTTACAACTGCTCTGTAATACTGTCGGCTTGTTTACAGGCGTTCAGTTATTTGTCAGTGTTTTAACTTGTATACATGGTGCTTATTTTCACTTTAGGACAAGACGCTCCGCATGAATGAGCTGAATGCCCTAAGAAAGCAGATTGAGCGGGAATACCTTGAGAAGGTGCAGCTAGAGGATGCCATTATGGAGAAAATGAGAAGTCAGCTGACCATGGACAAAGCTTCTCAGTACACACGAAAACTCACAGCCAAAAAACGGGAACTCACAAAACAGCTTGTAAGTAAACTGTTACCTGTCCATACAGTGTAGTAGAGACACAAGAGAGAATCACCGCTTACTATTGTTCATTTCTCTACATATAACTTAGTGGAAAGACCCTTAAACTGTTTGCCTTTTCTATTGACCCATACAACCATACCATATCTTGGGAAGGCTCCATCACTGAAAAACTAGTCCAACAATGATAGCAACAGTTCAAATACACTGACTATTAATGTAGGTCACTGGCCACACTGGTTAAACTAATGTAGGTCACTGGCCACACGGGTAAATTAATGTAGGTCACTGGCAACACTGGTAAAACTAATGTAGTTATTGGCCACACTGGTTAAACCAATGTAGGTCACTGGCCACACTGGTTAAACTAATGTAGGTCACTGGCCACACTGGTTAAACTAATGTAGGTCACTGACCACACTGGTGAAACTAATGTAGGTCACTGGCCACACTGGTTAAACTAATGCAGGTCAATGGCCGCACTGGTTAAACTAATGTAGGTCATTGGCAACACTGGTAAAACTAATGTAGGTCACTGGCCACACTGGTTAAACTAATGTAGGTCACTGGCCACACTGGTTAAACTAATGTAGGTCACTGGCCACACTGGTAAAACTAATGTAGGTCACTGGACACACTGGTAAAACTAATGTAGGTCACTGGACACACTGGTAAAACTAATGTAGGTCACTGGACACACTGGTAAAACTAATGTAGGTCACTGGACACACTGGTAAAACTAATGTAGGTCACTGGCCACACTGGTAAAACTAATGTAGGTCACTGGCCACACTGGTTAAACTAATGTAGGTCACTGGCCACACTGGTTAAACTAATGTAGGTCACTGGCCACACTGGTAAAACTAATGTAGGTCACTGGCCACACTGGTTAAACTAATGTAGGTCACTGGACACACTGGTAAAACTAACGTAGGTCACTGGACACACTGGTAAAACTAATGTAGGTCACTGGACACACTGGTAAAACTAATGTAGGTCACTGGCCACATTGGTTAAACTAATGTAGGTCACTGGCCACACTGGTTAAACTAATGTAGGTCACTGGCCACACTGGTAAAACTAATGTAGGTCACTGGCCACACTGGTTAAACTAATGTAGGTCACTGGACACACTGGTAAAACTAACGTAGGTCACTGGACACACTGGTAAAACTAATGTAGGTCACTGGACACACTGGTAAAACTAATGTAGGTCACTGGCCACATTGGTTAAACTAATGTAGGTCACTGGCCACACTGGTTAAACTAATGTAGGTCACTGGCCACACTGGTAAAACTAATGTAGGTCACTGGACACACTGGTAAAACTAATGTAGGTCACTGGCCACACTGGTTAAACTAACGTAGGTCACTGGCCACACTGGTAAAACTAACGTAGGTCACTGGCCACACTGGTATTGATAAAACTTTGTGTTCAGCTGCATCAAAGTAGGATTATTTTTAGTTTTATTACTGCAAGTTTATCTAAAGAGTTTTTCAGTAGGTAATAAGGACAGCAAAGCTAGTTCCTGAAATCTGCTGTTATAACACATCTGATCATAAAACATGATCATAAAACATCTGATCATAAAACATCTGATCATGACAAATACTTGAGACATACTTACTACTTAACCCCTTAAAGTCAAATAAGGATTCTAATTTCTCTAACATTATGACAAAACAATAAATACAATTACCATGGAAACTTGTTTTGTTTTAGGAAACACAAATGGCTGAAGTAGAGAACACTATATCTTCAGATTCATTGGACATTTCCAATGTTCAGACAAGAATTGAAAGATTGGACAAAATCATGAGAGGTTTGGACGGGGAAATCGCTGCTAAAAATGATATCATCAACAGAAGCGAGGCTGAGATTATCAAGCGAAACGCAGTCATTGAGAGGAAGCAGAACATCATAGATCAGTACAACAAAAAGCTTGAAGTTCTGATCACCAACGCAGGGGTGAGTGATGATCTTAAACTTCACAACCAAGCACATAGCATGGGAGTACAGTGAACATATCTCCTTACAGTACAGGGGTGAGTGCATGAAAGGTATCTTAAACTTCACAACCAAGCACATAGCATGGGAGTACAGCGAA